GGATTTAGGTTCCGTCGAGTTCGAAGATCCTAAACCTTTGGAAGCAGGCTTGGGTAGGTGACAGGACGCACAAGTCGGACCTGAGTTTTCGGTCAGACAGCTTTCACAGCGCCAAAGAGAAAGGCCAATCGCGGTGCTGGCTAAAAGGCGAAATAAGTCAACAATAAAGTACATGAACAACGACATAAGATGCCAAATCTCATAGCGCTGCTTTATCCATTGGCCTAAAGGATTTCATGTTAAGAACCACAAAAGACTGTTTACGGCACCTTTATAGAACATCAATGGCTCAGAAACCATGACAAAAAGGAATACTGAGGTAGAATAGCAAGGAAACTGACCAGGTTTTGTTGGCACATTGCTGGTTGTCAGTCCATCGGCAGAAAACAACACAGGGAGGAAGGAACTTGAAGATACTGCTGGAACTTTCAGGCTAGATTTTGGATGACTGAACGTGTAGTGCAAGTCTGGGGAAATCGTGGAAGAAGGGCGACTAGAAGGTTGGATTTTCAAAGATATTGGGCTGGAGAACTTGAATGCTGGGGATGATGAGCTCCGTCGTAGGCAATCGGAATTAAGTGGGCGTGAAACCGTCACAGCCGGGGCGCTGGTAGCCAAAGAAACTACTGCACGCACGCCTTCTGGTTTGTTAAAGATTGAGGGACTGGCTGCGACCTTAGGCAAGGACAGTGGCGTCGGCGTTGGTTGATGAGATACCTGAGGACGTCGAGTGGTGTCTTGAGAATACAGGATAGGGCCCTTGTCCGTAGTTGTTTTTCCACCCCCAGAGGACCGGTCTCCGGACTCCACATAACGGAACAGAGTCTTCTGGGATGTTGAATCGTTACTAGCGCCGGAGATCAAGTGCGTCTGTTGGCGCTGACTAGCTTTAAAACGGTGATACGCAGCCATGTAAGAGGGGTAACGGGTGGTTCTTGCGCGAAGAGGCTGAAATTTAGATAGACGTGTTAAAAATGTATCACTAGTTGATTACTTTAAAACAGTTAACGGCCTCAAAAAACTGAAACTCACCAGAACTGGAGGTGGCGGGGGCCGGGGGGTTGGCAGGGGAATTTTATCATTGGAAGTTATTGGTGAGGAATGCCGCTCTAAGTTCTCTAATATACGC